TGGTGCAAGGATAATTACTTTATTTAGACAGGATGTAACAGTACGACCAATCACGATCAGCTCAAGCTGCGAGCGGGCGGACAATGGAACACCTCGTGTAATATGTGGCTAGTATGTGAAAGTCCTTTGCTTCGCTCCGGACTAATAAAAATACTCTTGTTATATCGAATTGGCCAATCAAATCTCTTAAAATCTTCACTATAGCCTTATAGTAAAGTTGAGGTCTAAAACGTAGGGTTCATTATAACAAGAGTTGACTGTAATTATAAATAATTCTATAATTTTTGATTTAGTATAGTATCAGAAATGAATAATAATTCTTTATTATTATTTTTAATTTTTTAAATACTTTACATTTATAACATATTTCATAATTATTTAATACTTTAAAATGATTTAACTAATAAAATTGTTAAAAATGCTTTTTTTTAGCTTATAATATCTAATTAAATTATTATAATATGGGAATGTTTCTAGGAAAATCAGGTTCCAAGAAATTTTTGACTAAAATTAAGAGCTTAATACATTTTTATCTAATTACATCAAAAATTAAAATGCAATAAAAATCTCAATTTTGCTAAAAAATTCCCAGAACCTGATTTTTCTAGCAATCTACCCATATATTATACATAATCTTTAAATATAAATCATATCTATATCTATTTATAAATTTAATGAGTAAATAAGTTAATAAATATTTTATTACAAAAAAATCATAGATTATAAACTAAATATATTAAATATCTTTTTATAAAAAAAAAGAATTTATTAAATATAAATTAATACTATTAATTTTAAAATCATAAATAATATTTACAGTTTATATTCTTAAATATTAATATTAAATTTTAAGTTTTTAAATATATATTAATAAATTTTTTTATAGTATTTTAATATATCTTTATTTAATGAATTAGATTTACCTGTACTAAATTAAGTACATTGTATTAAATTATGACGGAAAATAAACTGAAAATTTTTACCAATTAAAATAGATAACAGGGATTCAAAATTAATAAGATGTTTATTTATGTAAGGGAGTTTCTATAATAAATATTATAGGCTCATCAGAGTTATATGAAGACAAAATTAACAAAATTATGTAAATCATGCATAGAGTAAATCTACTGATTTAAAAAAGGAAATTGTTATTCATACCTTTCTTTAGTTGAAAAATCAATCACATGACTATATAATTTTGGCTAGATTTCAGCTGATGGTAGGTATAACTAATAATACGAATAATAGCCTATCTTTAAAAAAGATTAAAATATGAAGTAAATAGGCGTTATATATATAATTTGCATATATGAGGCAATCAATAAATAAATTAATTTCTTAATGCAAGTCGAAACTGGTTACAAAATTTGTTAAATATTATGAATATAATTGCTTATTTGTATAAGGTATGTATAGGAATATAAAAGTTCTTTCTCATTTAACTTTTTCTTCCTTTATCTAACCTTTAAAATGGGATAGATTTCTTTGAATATTAAAGAAGATGCTAAGGTTTCTGTTTTGGATTCTATTATAGATGAAAATATTGCTCAACCACTTTTGAAAGAATTATGAAAACTAAACAACTTTTAGCAATGATTTTACAAGTAGCATAAGGTAATAATCACTGAGTAATTTGCTCTGATTCATAATCAGAAAATGAAATTGAGGTCTCAGCGAGCTGTATGAAGTTTGTGACTTTTCCAAAACTAGTTTAAATACTAATCAAGATACAAGTGATAAAGAGAAAACAAGTGGTAGTGAAACAGATATTTCAAGTAATACTGATGATAGTGAGGATAGAGAAGCCATAAATGTTCATAATGTTAATAATGTCTAATAGATTAATAAAATTGTTACGATTGATCCTTACCAAGTATTTTACTCCTATTTTAATGTATCAGTTGTACATATTACTGATATTTCTAAAGCAACACTCAAGTAATTTTTTGAGCAGTTTATATCTGTTGATTTTATAATGTCAGTAATAATTCTATTTACAAATAAATATGCGCGTTGAAACCGGCAAAAATTGATGAACCTGTCAAATATGCCAAATATGCCAGATCTGTCAGATCTGCCAAATCTGCTA